TTTCTTCTGAGTGCTTCGGTTGATAAAAGAAATAAACTTAAATTCAAAGTGTTTACTTTGTATCAAGCAGAGAGAATATTGCTATTCAGGGAAGTCGTACAATGTCAATTCATTTTGGTCACTAATCACTGGCTTATCTATAAACAGATGTTAAATGAACTCTTCAAAAGAGTCAAAATGAAGTTTAAATTTGTTGTGGTATGTTTCATTCACTGATATTCATGGAAAAGTCATCAAAAGAGACGAAACGAGAAGACCTGTTTAATTCGTCCGGTTAAAAAAACAACTTTAAAACCTCCCAAATAAAGGGCGTCTTCAGTGAAACCTGTGTAACACCTGCTTCGATTAAATTTCCAATTAGCCGAAAAACTGCAAAGAATAAAGGAAGTCCAAACTGTTTGGCCAAAACGATTTTCTATTCAAAACAAAAAAAAAAAAACCACGAAGCTCGCGGTTGAATTTAATTACTCGTGGCATTCGTTGTTGTGAAAACTCTTACATCAACGTGTTCAACGCCCCTACGGTCATTTAAGGCGGAGTTAAAAGAACGAATCAAGTTAAAGTACCGCAAATTACAGTCCAGGCCGTGTTATAAAATTTCTTCGGCAAATCACAATCCTCACTTCAAATCCGCCGTCACCTCGTATGCCTCAAGTCCCACTGAGCCGTATAACAAAATACACACAAGTAAAATGAAGACGCTTTTTGTACTCCCTCTGGCCACAATGGTTTTATTCTTGGTTACATCTCTTGGAGAAGAGTATGAGAGGTTTAAAGACTTTGAGGATGAATCCCAAGACTACGTAACTGACAGAGTTAAGGAGTGGCGTCAACGACAGCAGCTGAGGAGTATGTTTGATCCAAACTGTCTTGTTTGGACTCGAAGAAACTCCAACTGCTTCAATGGAAAGAAACGTAACTATGACAGCAGACAAGTAGGTCTTCTCTAGTTAACAAGAAAAACTTGAGATTTATATATCATGAATGCTTTGTGTGGGATGAGACATTTCCTGAAAACTACGAATCATACCAATTAGAGAAAATGAACCGTAAGTTATTTCAGTCACTGCAAACCGCAAACCTTTCTTCCACGAATTAAGTGTAAGTGCAAGTGAAAACAAAACGGTCACAATAACCTCGGGCGTTAGGAACTGTTTTAGATATTTTGGAACGGTTAAACATACCGGGTCTACAATTAATATTAACGTTGTTTCATATTGTTTCCAACAGGGTCGTTTGGGCAGTACAGACAACAGCGCGCTTGAACAGGCTGACTACTATGAATGACTGACGCCACTTCTTTTGCCCCAAAAAACTACGAATACAGAACATTTGGATAAATTTAGCACATCAGCTGTAGACTATCAATTGAATAATCTATGCTGAAATCTATAATAGAATGCTGTCTTAAATAATAGATAATCATGTAAAGCGATAAAATAGCTAAGAGGCGAGGTTGCCATTTATTAATCTTATGTCAGGTAAAGCCAGCTAACTCTTCCTCTTTGTAATCCAGACATTGCAGATTAAAAAAGTTACTACGATCTGTTTCAGTTTCTAATTTCTTCGTGAACGATGTAGACTTATCACTAGCTATAGAATTATTTCCTGGACTGTTTGAACTTCTTCCCTTTGTGTCTACAGATGCTAAGCATTTTGATAATTTTCACAGATATCTTTAGCACAGATATACTTAGCTATCTCGAGAAATTAATATAGAGGTGAAATGTTTCGTTCCACTACATGGTGCATTTTGGAAGTGAAATTGATAATTTTGCTCGAGTTTTCAGTCCACTCGTAACTGGACAGAAATCCGCTGATGAGAACGCTCTTACAACAAACGCTGTGAACGAAGGGGAGAAGTTTCACTATGTTTTCAAATTGCATTTGACTGGCTTAGGAAGTAAGGCAAGTTTCTTGACCAATCAGAGAGTATCGAAGAGATTAAAAAGTGTGAAAATTATTCTTTCCATCGTCACAGGAGTCGAAGTTTGCCATCAGTAGAAGATGACCCTGAATCAAACGTTACCATCGCTAAGCTAGAGGCTTTCAGAGTCCAAATTTATGAATTTGAGTGGAATTTGACTCGCGTCTTTTTTGACTCAGCAGTCTCTTGAATAATTTAGGAAAACGCTGCACTCTCGTGCGAGCTGATGCATAAATTTCAAATCAGATTTTTTTATGCAAACAACTTAAAATAACCCTTTGACGGTAACGTTCGCCTATCCCCCCTCCCCCACCCCCTTCAATGAGCTTTTGTTAAACTTTTGAAAAGGGCTGGATTCTCAAGGTTGATTAATTCGGGGTGGACATCATCACAGCCTTCTATTACTCCCTTATCATCAGCGCCAGGTCCATTTTGGACAGTTCATTTGTTAACTGCTTTCTCATACAACCTAGTCAATTAAATAACATTGTTTTCACAACAGGAATGATTAGCAAATACGGATCGTGGTATTTGTATCAAACTCTGGTTTAGGTCTGGAAAACACACAATTTTGACAATTGTATTTTCCTGCCTGAGCAGCACAAATATTAGCACATCACATATTATGTTATTTATTATTATTATCATTATCAAATGTTATTAGCGTATCACATATTATGTTATTTATTATTATTATCATTATCAAATGTTATTAGCACATCACATATTATGTTATTTATTATTATTATCATTATCAAATGTTACCACAGCAGCAGGCCTAATTCTTGTATCTGTTCTTCTAGCAATGATTTTTCAATCTTTTAGACGAGGATTGAAATCAATTAAGGCTACCATTAAATTGTTATTCACCACTAAAGGATCATGCTTCCACTGCATGTTAAAAAAACATTTTTTTTCGCTCCGAATCTTTAGTTCCCTTGTAGACATTTCTTGCCTTGCCTTCGCCGCGTTGAGCTTTAATGTTCTCCTGTCTCGCAAAACGAATGAATTATAGTTTTATGCATGTTGGAAGCGGTTTTAAATGCAATTGTTTCTGAATAACTCTTAAATGGATACAATAATGTATTACAATCGGAACGAGAAGTAGGCGGGCGAAAACTGAGACTAACACCATTGACAGACACCGAGGGAGACAGTTAAGAACCGAGAGACAAAGAAGAACACTTGAGCAAAGGCAATGATCGCGTAAAAATGGCACCAGAGCCATTCAGGCGACCCTGTAAATTTGTTTCACCATATTCATACTTTTAGATGTGCCGATCGGACGAGAACTCTTTTGTAATTAATGTTTGAACAGCAATCAAGAAACTTGAGTTGCGTTTAGGCCGGCGCCTAAGTATGTCGTGACAAGTTGTCTTAAACCACCTGCCGTGTCTAATTTTCGTGAACGGAAATGGTCAGAATACTTTGTAAAACGCTTAATTACCTCGAAAAAAAAAAGTGAATTAAAATGATGATCAGAAAATCAGAATTAAAGTCTTATGCTATGCGATGTTATGAATATGTCAGAGTTTAAGGAATAACAAACTGCTTTTCCTCGGGAATTTCGCAACTGTTGGCGGAAGTTTGCTATTCCAGCATATATCTCATAAATTACCCCTGGTGTGTTAGGCTTCTTTGCTACGAATACTTCGATAGCTTTTTGTTCAGGTTTTTAGGTCACTAAGATAGAAAGATAAAAAGACAAAAAGCTGGCTAGCTGAAGTGATCCTCCAGACTCTTGTTCACACAGAATTTTTTTAACAACAGCTCCAAAGTGGCGAAACCATTTTGAGTCTCCCCAGGTCAGGTCAACCCGAGTCTATCACTTAATGGAGGGGTGGCCTTGGGAGGGCTTCACTTGATAAAGCGGTAAATTTACTTCTCCACTTGAGTCGTACTAGTTCTCCCCAGTAGTTATAACTCGGTCTATATAAATATTACAAAATTTACTTATGCGGGCAATGCAATTTTGCCATGTTGAAGCCCAGAATGATTGTTGGAGTTTAAGTCGACGAATTTTGAAAGAATAGTCAACGCCCCTTTTTGCATAAGTATTCGTTTCATCATGCGATGCTCTCTTCCACCTTACAGATGGATGCATAGGCCAGATGCTATTTAGGCGTTTGTAAAACGGATCGGAGTCGAAAGGGTTTTTGTCTGTTTTTTTGTTTGTTTTGTTTGTTTTGTTTTGTTTGTTTTTCGTTGTGTGTGTGTGTGTTTTTTCTTTCTTTTTTTTTTTTGTCTTTCCCAAAGATGTCTATCTTTTATAGCCTACGGTTAATACTTACTCCACAAAATGTGTCCCTTAGAGCTCCTATCGTCCATGATTCGATTATTGATTAGAACCCGGTTGTATCGACTGGATAAATCTTTATCCGTTAGTGCAGAGCATTGTATGAACACTTATCCGCTGGATAGCAGTTAGATAGCGTTAACCGCCCTTCGGACAATTAGCCCCAGACGTTCTTCTTTCACGCAGTTACGAAATGGAGAACAACGTATAAGTAAAAAATAGTAAAAAGGCAATGTAAATTTTAGAACCACTTCAGCCCCACGTGTGATGATTTCAGGTTAAAATTGAACCCCATACATAAACTAACATTTATTATAATTGTATATGTAAATTAGTTCCCTTTTAGGTTGGATTTTAGTGTATTACAAAATTTGTACACCTTTGCAATTCAGCTTCCAGCTGCTATTAAGATATTCTTAATAAACTTCTATCTATTTATCTATCTATCTATCTATCTATCTATCTATCTATCTATCTATCCATGATACTATCCGGCCTATCACTTGTAAAGAGCGAGTAGTAAAACCTTTTGAATTAGAGGAAACTTACGTTTTAACCATATTGACGTTAATTGACGGTCGGGTCTACAGAGTGAATTACAATTTAGACGACTTGAACCGTTTTAGTGTTTTTCATCTTGAAAGAGACGCTTTGGTTCCTAAATGACTGTTTGGAGAAGGAAAACAAAAGTAATAGCACTTGGCAGCTGTGTTTTCATAGGCTTTCCAGATATAAGCTAATTAAACGGACTTCACTAGTTGCTCGAATCACTGAACAGCGTTGGTTTGTAACACCCGCGGCCAAACAGAAGATGTTCCAATACAAACTTCTCGTCCTTTGTTTCTTCGCTTCTTTTATTCTACTGGCTTTATGCCTCGAGCAAGAAGGCCCAGTTAGTCAAGAACTGAACGACGAAAGCTCTTTGGACCTCAGAGAATTAAGAAGAAGAAAGTTTCCTAAGCGAAGTTATAACCAAATGTGTAGAAGTATACGCTGGGCTAGGTTTCGGAAGTGTTCTTCACGTTAGTTGTAACAGGTAATGTACTACTACGGTAATTTAATGAGTTTAGAGCAGTACTTGGCTTTTGAGCCTTACACATGCAAATTAATTTCTAACGCCCTGAGTCGTGTTGCATTTTTCGAGAGAATTTATTAAAATGTTTTGTACTTTAAAATTTCCAGCTGTTTTGTTAAATTCATATCAACCTGAAAAGTGTCTCCTAGCGAAAGATTTATACGGGAAAGAAATGTTGGAGAGATATCTTAAATAGATGAGAATCGTTACCTGAAATGATGGCACAGCATATTTCTTCGTCGAGCAACTATAAAATTCGGTTTTATTTTGATTTGTCTCTACTCTATATTTGAGCACCCACCGAAAGCAAGCCAAAAAAAAGAAAAACAGCGAACAAAAAAAACAAAAAAATCAAAAGGATAAGAGGGAGGGAAAGATAAATAGATTAATAAATGGTAGTAGTATCGCGTGATCAACTCAAGATGTGCTTGATTCATGCCGGCGGAGTGCGAATTCACTGAAGAGGCAAACAGCTTGTCTTCATGAAATTATATTTCCTTTGAACTCAATTTTATTTTGTTAATTACTCGTGTTCAATGGAATCGGAAGTGACATTTCCGTCAGGGTAAAATGGCGGAAATTGAAATCTAGGAGTTTCCGAAATGGAAAAATATATTTTCTGACAACGAAATGTGTAGGTGGGGAAACTATAGGAGGATTTGTAAAATAAAAAAAAAATAAAAAAACTACACTAAACAACACTTCGACGACTAATAAAAGTGTTTATAATTTGTTGCGTGAGTTTTCCCACGTCTTTAATTAACAGCTATAAACTTCTCTTTTCTTTTGCAGGCTTCATTGATCAAGTCGGCGAGACCAAAGTTCATTATTCAGTATTCCGGATAATGCTTCAGTAACACTCAAAAGGCAAGATTGGCTTATGTATCATGGCGAAGAAATTAAAAACCTTTGTTAAACTTCGAGCAATTGCGAGTGATTAAGAGATCAAAATATGCTTATTCACATACGATCCTGAAAACAATACCCTTGAGACGTTTTCATTCTCAGGTATCAGGAATCTCACGTGACATCTTGTTATCTTACTGAAATGATAACAACCAACTCCTTTCGCCTACCATTTCCCAAGAGCGAAATCGCACTGCTTTCAAAAGAGAAGATGCTCCAATCACACGCAATCGCACTAACCGCAATAAATTTTTTCTGGTGAGGCGTTGCAAATTGAAATCCGAAACTGGGAAAATTTTCGTAAGACCATGGCAAGATTGCATGGATCCGAGTCTAGTTTAAATTTTTCACTCGTTTGAGATCTCCAAGCACTTTGGTGATCACAAATTGCTTGATAATTTTTGGGTTGGAAAGCCGTTACAACATTTAAAAGTCATGAAAGAAGAAAACCGAAATCTGAATGATCTAAAAGAAAACAATTTATCAAAAGAAATGGAATTACTTCCGCAGTAATGATAGAAAAGGCCCCCCTTCCCCAAATTAAAAAAGAAAAAAAAAATGCTTAGAGCATGCAAACACCATTTATCCTTTTCGGATTAACAAAAGGGTCACTTTAAATAAGCTGCATGCTCAGGCTAAATATATTTCAACTTGTCAGCCCAGTAGCCTTCCTATCTTCTAGCGCCGTCTCGTCGGAAACTATGATAGTGAGTTAGATTTGCATATCCTCAGCTTGAGTATAGTTGAAGCCATGATGACCCGATCTACGAATTTCAAGCTCTTAAGGTTGAAAAATTTAAGGTTCAAGGAGATTCCATAAATCCTCGAAATGGTACGCTGGCCTCTTGTTTTAAGTGTTATTTCTTTTTTTTTCTTTTCAAACGCGATTCTTTAATGAACCGTGGCTTCTAGAATGTTTTGTTTGTTTCCTTGTAAGTCTTTATGTTTCCAGCAAATGAGGTTAACAAAGCAACACTGCAACCTCTTGCTTTACCTTATTTGAACTAAAAAACGATTTCAGAGACCCCGATATCTTCCCGAGAGTTGAAAAAAAAAAATGTCCAAACAGCACAAAGCCACCTTGATTCTAGACAGTGTACGATGGCTCTGAACCATATATGAAAGATTTTTTAAAAAGCTTGGTTCAAAGATAAATGTTTATATGCTGATTGCAACACATGGATAAGAAATGACGGGCACCGAACTCGTTTTTGAGTTACAGGCACATCATCAAACGATAAAAACATGCAACTCTCCATATTCTCTTTGTTTGCAGTCCAGACAAATCTGGAAAGCCAAAGGTACTCAAGTGCAATAACGCTTGGCTACCTAGTTAAAAATGCCTAACTTGTGAAATGCTATTTTAACTAATCTGGATGCTTGCAACGATGCATTAAAGGGATTTATAAATTGTTCCACATGGAAAAATCAAGTCCCTCGTGATTTCAAATGTCATGTGAACTTGCTTTTCAGTGAAGTCACAAAACACGTGTTAGTAGTAACTGTTACACCGCAAAATGTAATAATCGCCGCAAAATGTGATAATATTCGCCGCAAAATGTAATGATACTGACGCAAAATGTAACAAATCATTCAACGGAAAAAGTAATCACTTTTCAACACGAAATGTAATAACTTCTTTAACGCATTGTGTAATAACGCAAAATGTACTAGGTTTCGAATGACTTGTATTCTCTTAACTTAAGTATGTTACCCATCGTAGATTACATGAATGAAATTGAAGATTTTCAGGTTTCTTGGTAAACTCTAAAGGCAGGCTTACCTCGCTTGTAAATCAATACTAAAGTATCTTTCAATTCGTTC